CAATTCAAATATGATATACATAGGTTTTCAGTAAAAAGTTGGAGAAAAAGGATACCATACAGACAAAGGAAAGCAAGACTCAGTGTATTAATATCAGATAAAATAGACTTTGGAATAAAGAAAAGTATCATAAAAAGGAAATCTCAAGGCCCAAATGGTTTTACTGGAGAATTATAGCACATATTTAATAGACTTAACATAAAGTCTTCCTTATCTGTCCCAGAAAATAGAAGAGAATACTCCCCAGTATGTTTAACTGATACCTAAACCAGAAAAAGGAATGATTAAAAAAAAGAGAACTACAGACCAATGTATTTCAATAATGTAGATATAAAAAACCTTAATAAAATATTGGCAAACCACATTCAGCAATATATAGAAATAATTATGTACCATGACCAACTGGGATTTATTTCAGGGTTGCAAGCATCACTCAGTATCTTAAAACCATCAATGCAATCTATAGAAATAGACAACTATGTTCTATAATTTACATGTAAAGGCAAAAACACTAGAATATCTAAAATAATTTTGGAATAGAAGAATGAAGTATAAGATATCATCTTCCACATTCAAGACTTACATAGCTATAGTATAGCCATATAACCACCAGTCCTCTATATTTAAGAACCTTTTTTATCTCTTTTTTTCTTAAATTCCACATATGAGTGAAATCATGTTACTTGTTTTTCTCTGACTGACTTATTTCATTTAGCATTATACCGTCTACATGCATCCATGTTGTTACAAATGGCAAGATATCATTTTGTATGGCTGAATAATATTCCTGTGTGTGTGTGTGAGTGTGTATGATATGATACATACATCACATCTTTATCCATTCATTTGTTGATGGAGACTAAGTTTTCTTCCATATCTTGGCTATTGTAAATAATGCAGCGATAAATGTAGGAGTATTGGAATTAAAAGAAAAGAAAGAAAATAAAGGGGTGCAGTTAAGAAATAGGGGTACATATATCTTTTTGAATTAGTGTTTTTGTTTACTTTGGGAAGATATCTAGTAGTGGAATTATTACTGGATTCATATGGTAGTTTTATTTTTAATATTTTGAGGAACCTATATATTGTTTTCCACAGTGACTGTACCAGTTTGGTCTCCCACCAACAATGCACTGGGGTTCCTTTTTCTCTACATCCTTGACAACGCTTGTTTCTTGTGTTTTTGATTTTAGCCATTCTGACCGGTTTAAAGTGAGATCTTATTGTGGTTTTGATTTGCATTTCCCTGATGATGAGTGATGATGAGCATCTTTTCATGCATCTTTTTAATTGGATTATTTGGGGTTTTTTTGTGTTGAGTTGTGTAAATTTTTTAATATATTTTGAATAATAACCCCTTATTAGATATATTTTGGATATTAAACCCCTTATCATCTGCAAATATCTTCTTCTATTCCATAGGTTTTGTTTTAGTTTTGTTGACTGTTTCCTTTGCTGTACAGAAACTTTTTATTTTGATGTAGTCCCAATAGTTTATTTTTGCTTTTGTTTCTCTTGCCTTAGGAGGCATATCTAGAAAAAAGTTGCTGTGGCCATTGTCAGAGAAATCACTGCCTATGGTCTCTGCTCTAGGATTTTTATGGTTATAGATCTCACAGTTAAGTCTTCAATCTATTTTGAGTTTATTTTTGTGTATGGTGTAAGAAAGTGGTCCAGTTTCATTCTTTTGTATTTAATTGTCTGGTTTTCCCAACACCATGTGTTGAAGAGACTGTCTTTTTCCCATTACACATTCTAGCTTCCTTTGTTGTAAATTACTTGACTGTGTAATTGTGTATTTCTTTCTGTGCTCTCTGTCCTGTTCCACTGAAAAATCAGTCATGATTTAAATGTAAAATATAAAACTATAAAACTTGTAGGAAAAAGCAGGAGACAGTCTTCAGGATCTAGAGCTAGATAGAGTTTTTAGACTTGACACCAAAAACATGGTTCATAAATGGAACGATTAATAAATAAATGACTAGGAATCTCATTACTAATAAAAGGTAAGTAATATCTCTGGAGGACAGAGATAAAAATCCTTCATATTGAAGTCTCTGTTATCAGATGAAAAATAATAATCACTTGTGGAAAAAATCCATATATACATATATAAATATATGAATTTTTCTCAAACACAAGAAGAGGTGTATTAGCAGCCTCAAAATTGCAGCTCTTCTCCCTAGAACAATTAACAAGCCACAATTGGAATGGAAATGTATTATAAGTAATTAATTTAAGAAGGACTTACAAGAAAAAAGTTATTTTTATAAATGAGGAGAAAATTAGGATAAATTTCATTCTTTTACACAATTAATTGACAACAGAGTATCTTTCAAGAATTCAGGTCTCAACACCAAGGAAATACAAACAATTTTAAGAACATATTATGAGCAACTATGTGCCAAATTAGGCAATCTGGAAGAAATGGATGCATTCCTAGAAATTTATAAACTACCAAAACTGAGAGAGGAAGAAATAGAAAATCTGAACAGACTCATAACCAGCAAGGAAATTGAAGCAGTAATCAAAAACCTCCCCAAAACAATATTCCAGGGCCAGATGGCTTCCCAGGGGAATTGTACCAAACATTTAAAGAAGAAATATTACCTATTCTACTGAAGCTGTTTCATAAAATAGAAATGGGAGGAAAACTTCCAAACTCTTTCTATGAGGCCAGCATTACCTTGAACCCCAAGCCAGACAAAGATCCCATCACAAAGGAGAATTACAGACCAGTATTCCCAATGAATATGGTTGCCAAAATACTCACCAACATACTAGCCAGTAGGATCCAACAATACCTTAAAAGGATTATTCATCCTGACCAAGTGGGATCTATTCCTGGTGTGCAGGCGTGGTTCAACGTTCATAAATTAGTCAACCTGATACATCACATTAATAAAAGGACAAGAATTATATGATCCTCTCAACTGATGCAGAAAAAGCATTTGACGAAATACAGCATTGTTTCTTCATTAAAACTCTCCACAGTGTAGGGATAGAAGGAACGTACCAAAATATCATAAAAGCCATATATGAAAAGTCCACAGTGAATATCATTTTCAGTGGGGAAAAATGGAGAGCTTTTCCCCTGAGGTCTAGAACACGGCAGGATTGTCCACTGTTACGACTGTCATTCAACATAGTACTAGAAGTCCTCAATAATTAGACAACAAAAAGAAATAAAAGGCATTCAAATTGAAAAAGTCTAATTCTCATTTTTTGAAGATGACATGATACTTTATGTGGTAAACACAAAAGACTCCACCCCGAAATTGCTCAAACTCATAAAGGAATTCAGCAACATGGTAGGATATAAAATCAATGCACAGAAATCAGTTGCATTTATTATACACTCACAATGAGACAGAAGAAAGAGAAATTAAGGAATTGATCCCATTTACAATTGTACCAAATACCATAAGATACCTAGGAATAAACCTAACCAAAGAGATAAAGGATCTGTATTCTAAAACTACAGAACACTTAAATGAATTGAAGACACAAATTGAACGGAATAATATTCCATGCTCATTGATCAGAAGAATAAATATTGTTAAAATGTCTGTGCTACTCAGAGCAGTCTATACATTCAGTGCAATCCCTATCAAAATACCATCAACTTTTTTCACAGAACTGGAATGAATAATACTTAAATTTATATGGTACCAGAAATGACCCTGAAAAAGAAAACCGAAGCTGGGGGCATCACAATGTGTGACTTCAAGCTATATTACAAAGCTGTAATCATCAAGACAGCATGGTACTATCACAAAAACAAGATGCGTAGATCAGTGGAACAGAATAGAGAACCCAGAAATGGACCCTCAACTCTATGGTCAACTAATCTTTGACAGAGCAGGAAAGAATATCCAATGGAAAAAAAGCAGTCTCTTCAACAAATGGTGTTGGGAAAATTGGACAGCCACAGGCAGAAGAATGAACTTGGACCATTTCCTTATACCATACACAAAAATAGACCCAAAATGGATGAAAGACCTAAATGTGAAACAGGAATCCATCAAAATCCTAGAGGAGAACAAAGCCAGCAACCTCTTCTACCTCGGCCACAGCAACTTGTTGCAAGACACATCTCTAAAGGCAAGGGAAACAAAAGCAAAAATGAACTATTGGGACTTTATCAAGATAAAAAGCTTCTGCACAGCAAAGGAAACAGTCAACAAAACTAAAAGGCAGCCTATGGAATGGGAGAAGATATTTGCAAGTGACACAGCAGATAAAGGGCTAGTATCCAATTTCTATAGACAACTTCTCAAACTCAACACCCAAAAAACAAATAATCCAATCAAGAATTGGGCAGAAGACATGAACAGACATTTCTTCAATGAAGACATGCAAATGGCTAACACATAGGAGAAAATGCCCCACATCACTTAGCATCAGGGAAATTCAGATCAAAACCACAATGAGATATCACCTTATACCAGTCAGAATTGCTAAATAAGACAAGAAACAACAAATGTTGGCAAGGATGTGGAGAAAGGCGAACCCTCCTACACTGTTGGTGGGAATGCTAGCTGGTAGAGCCGCTCTGGAAAACAGTATGGAGGTTCCTTAAGAAAAAAATAGAGCTAATCTATGACCCAGCAATCGCATTACTAGGTATTTACTTCAAAGATGCAGATGTAGTGAAATGAAGGGTCACCTACACCCCAATGTTCAAATGCCATCTAAGGACAAGGTCGTCTCTGACTACCCTATTTTAAATTATAACCACCGATCCAACCTTAGTATTCTCTATCCCTCTTCACAACTGCAAAAAAAAAAAAAAAAAAAAAAAGGCTGGTGAGAGGGGCCGACGGCCGAGGGCTCGTGCGCGGGCGCGCGTGCTCTCCCCTAGGGAGCGCGGCGGCGAGTTGCGCGCGGAGGGGTGGCGCGCTGGGCTGGGAGGAGGCTGGCTGGCTGGTGGGCTGGGCGGGCGGCCGGGAGCGCGCGGCAGACTCGGCGGCGGCGAGTAGTTAGTTAATTAGTGTCAGTTGCTCAGTGGAGGCGACCGCGGTCACCAGGAAGGGGACCGGACAGCCGGCGATGGTGGTCACCACAGCGGCATGTGCGCCTTTCAGGTATCTGCCTGAACTGGAACTCATGCTGTAGACATTTCTTTGTGGATTCATCTAAAAATCTGAGTTGAATTCTTCAGAGGAAGAGGGAAAGAGCCTTCTAGTTTTCAAACTCTTGAGATGTGACTGTTTCAATTTATCTACTGCTTGCTAGGATAGAGTGGAGAGGATCAGGAATGGAGCACGAAGATCCGAGGCTATTATAATAACCCTCTCAAGCCTGATGGTAGCTTGGACCAGTGATGAGAAGTGGTTTGATTCTGAATTTATAGCACATAGCCACAAACTCTTATTTGAAGAAATAATTGAATATATGTATCAACATGTAATAGTTATCTCTGGTGGGATTGCTGATGATTTGTATTTTCTTTGTATGCCTCTGGGTTTTCCAAATTTTCTGTAACTATTACTTTTAAAATAAGAAAAAAATATAAAACTGAAACAGCAATGTTCACTATAGCCAAACTGGAAGGACTGGGATACCCTTCAACAGAAGAATGGATAATGATGTGATGTGTGTGCACACACACACACGCACACACACACACACACACACACACTATGGAATATTACTCAGCCATCAGAAGGATAAATAGTTACCATTTAATTTGATGTGAATGGAATAGGAAGGTATTATGCTAAGTGAAACAAGACAGTTGAAGAAAGACAATTACCAAATGGTTTCACTCATATGTGGAATATAAGGAACAGTGCAGAGGATCTTAAGGGAAAGGAAGGAAAACTGAATGGGAAGAAATTAGGGAGACAAATCATGAGAGACACTTGACTCTGAGAAATAAACTGAGGGTTCGCTAGAGGGGAGGTGGGTGGGGGGATGGGGTAACTGGGTGATGTGCCTTAAGGAGGGCATGTGATGTGATGAGCACTGGGTGTTATATGCAATTGATGAATTATTGAACAGTATACCTGAAATTGTAGATGTACTGTATGTTGGATAATTGAATTTAAATTAAAAACAAAGAAAAAAAAAGAGGTCAGGTCTCAAAATATATCCGACCAAATTGTTTTACATAAAATTAACAGTTATCCAGTACCAGAGACACAAGTAATTTTGAAATGTGTAACTCCTACTACTTCTGTAGAGAGTCTGGATAAAGAAAAATGAAACAAAAAAAATCAACAAATAGTGAAGCTTTTGTATGAAATAACAGTATATTTAATGTAGCTAAGGATGGACTTCAGTTTATTTTGTATGATATTTTAAGATTTTATTTATTTATTTGACATAGAGATAGAACAAGCACAAGCAGGGGGAATGACAGGAGGAGGGAGATGGAGAAGCAGACTCCCTGCAGAGCCTGATGCAGGGGTGGGTCCCAGGACCCTGGGATCATGACCTGAGCCAAAGGCAGACACTTAACAGACTGAGCCACCCAGGTGCTCCTAGACTTTATTTTAAATAATGATATTGATTTGTGAGATTTTTATTAAAAAGCAAAAAAATTATTTGGTATAGTTATCATAATGATACAGTAAGATACCAAATCAAAAAATATTACTATATTATTTGGCTATGTAACTATATAACTATATTATTTGACAATAATATACCAAAGCCAAAGCACCAGAATAAATGGGTTAAAAAAATGATACTGAGAGTGAGCATAAAATATGGATATGTGAACATTCAGTAATTTGTTCTTCATATGTAGTGTCCAAATATATGACATTATTGAAGTTTGTTTTAGAAAGGTAGATTTAAAATATTTAAGCTATAAAATATATTACCAGATTCATAAATGAAGTACATAAATATAAATATGTAGATTCATGTGTATTATATAAAGCTCTAAGCATTAGTGTCAGCAAACAAGGACAAAGTGCCTTCCAAATTAATGGACATAGAAAAAAATGAAAGCAATGCTGACTATATTACAAAGACAGAAAATATAGGAATATGTAAGATTGAGAGAACATGAGAAAATGAAATAGATGTTTATAAATTTAAACAGACTATTCAAAGAATAGAAATCCCAGGCTTAATTTAAAAACGGAAATATAAACTATGGGTTTTTTTGGACACATCAACAACGGCAGTTAAAGAACAGAAATATATATTTCTTTAATTAACATGAGTACAGGATGCATCTCTTCCTTAATTCTCCTATTATCCTTTCTAAATTTATTATCATGGACTGAATGCTACAGGATGTATTCAAACTTTTCTCAAAACCAAGAATTATAAAAGTATTATTAAGAAAGTAGATCCCAATGAGAGTCAGTAGGCCATACGAAGTGTCTGAAATGCCACCCAAGGTACTCATAATCAAAGTTGGTGGATAGCCAGAACATTGCCTAAGATAAAGGTCACACCATGTGAGTTAGGATGGCCATGGCCAGGTTACTTGGTATGGACAAGGTTGTAGTGTTCTGAAGAATTAGTTTAATAACATCTAGAATATATGATATTGGTCCAGGATGTCCCATATCAATGGGGATAAATAACAAACAATATAATAGCAACAATAATTCAGAAACAACAAAACCAACGATTAAAAGTACTTGATTTGTTTCAGGCACTCCTCTAAAATTAGTATAGATGTTTATTTAATGCTTAGAACAACCCTACTATTAGGTATATTATTATCCCAGTTTACAAAGGAAATGGAGACACAGTGGTAATCAGGTTGTGAGTTCCAAAAGAATAAAAATCCACCCCCGCCTCGCCTTTTGGGTGTATGGGCAAAGAAATGAGAACCCTTTATGTTGGAATTTCTTTTTTAGTACTATGGTAAAGATGCTCCCAGAAGTCCTGAATTTACATTAAGCTTGGTACAAAACTAGGTGCCAGCCCAGAGAAATCAGTCTCTTTCTTTAGTGTGAATGCAACTCTTCATCTAATAATAGTCACAGATAGGTGACAAATATGAATTGTCTCAAAGGAAAAATCAGTAAACATGATATTAGAAGGTCAATGTTATGAAAGTATATGGTCCCTCTGTGGTTTGCTAGGTGATAGAATTTCAGCTAGATCAAGGCCCAACTATCAGAAGTGGTATGTATATTATTACCATGCGATGGGCTTCATATTCACATTTCTGTGTCTTTAGATGGTTCTAATGTCACTCAGAAGCCTCCCTTTGGTGTTAAAAAATGTGGAAGTTATAGGTGAGGAAGAAGCTCTATCAGTTCATCTTGAAGAAGATTTCTGAGCATTTTCCCAGACTGGTGTTGCAAATATCAGTGTTTTATTTCAGCTCTCAGGTAAGGATCCAACATACCAGAGAAGGGGATGCCATTGAGCCTAGCTCTAGCAGAGTCTGTGGACCATTATGGTAGAGTTAGGCAATTAAGTTCAACTAACGTGGGGTTTAGAGTGGCTTTGCTGTCTGTGCAATTTTTAAACAGTGGGCCACAAAGCCACAGAAAATTTACTGCCTTCTTCCTGGGTTCTTTCAAATAAACAATTACAGACATAATGGTCCTTTTTACAATTGATCCTTTGTGTGTCCTAATACAGCCCTGTCTACAAAAAAGATGATGAGTTATCGCTGCCATAGGAAATTTCTTTGGAGTCAGAAATAATGTCTGGAGCTGGTATTTTTCTGGTATCTCACAATGCCCTTAGTGGAGAAGGCACATCTGCAAATAGAGTATGCTATTAGGGTTCTGGGAGTTTTGATGGTAGTTAGGAGATTAATACTGAAGATCAAGAGGCTTACTGCTGTAAATCCCAAAAATAAATGATAGATTTATAATATCACACATAAAAATATGGTCTTGACTAGCCCAAGGGAAAAAATAAGTCCAATGCAATGTGTAAGTGACTTTGATCTCCATATAAGGACAAGCAGAGTTGCCATGTCATACACTTAATTCTAAAGAGAGTCCTTAGTTCCAGTCCCTAATCATTTTTTATAATAAATTCTTCTAGTAGTTTGGTAAAACCTGCAGACCCTTATTCTCAGTGTTTTAAAATGCTTCAAATAAAATAACGTAGGATTATAAAGGGAAACAATATATTAAGATATATTTTAATCCCCAAGTTAAGAGCAGCAAGTTTGCTAAAACAGCTTGGAGATAGGTAGTGAAGTGAGTATCCTCTCAGGAGTTCCCAAAGGATTCACATATTGTACCCAATTTAGAATCCCAGACGAAGACATTTGAAAGTTACTCTGTGGATAAAAATACTATGATAGTCAGGACAGAAGTGACTTTGACAAAGAACCTAGCTTTCCTTCCTTCCTTCCTTCCTCCCTTCCTTCCTTCCTTCCTCCCTCCCTTCCTTCCTGCCTTCCTCTTTCTTTCTTTCTAGGGAAATTAGATGACTTAATTTTAGCATACAAAACTTTAATGACAATTATGCTATTTAGGGACATTGTGCTTGTTTTGAGATCTGCAGACTTAAAGAAGACTTTATAGGGAATAAATTACTGTGCTCACGTATTTTGGAGAAAGATGTGTATTTACCCCAAAACTAACCACTCATTTTTAAGACACAAAATCTCACTTCCTACATAGTGATCAATTTCCTTTTTTGTGGGCAAAGATCACTGTAAGATTATCATAAAATGACAGATTTTTTTTTTTTTCACAAAAGTGCATGGTAGTTATAAAACTCAATTTTTAAGCAATAAACTAAAAAGAGAATTTTGTCACCAGGATAGATTAAAGTTTTTGACTAAATGAATTTTCTTGCCAAAGGGGTTTATAGTACTTCATAGAATCTATTTTCCTGACAGAATAAATCATTGCATGTGACAAAATGCAGTTCTTCAGAAAGGATTTAGCTCCCCCCCCCCAATCTATTCTCTTTGTAGAAATATATTTTACAAGACAGTAGCAGTTCCAAGTCTCAGGTTTCTTGGGGAGAAGTGTATTTATACTCAGCAGTGAAGTTGTTTACAAGTGGTGAAAAGTTAGTGACTAGAGAGATGTGAAAGGTATAGATACTAGGCTCCTGTCAGTTTTTATTTTGAGTCAGCATAATGTGATTCATAACTTGAAACACAATTCTATAACCTGAATTGTCCCCCTCTCATTAAGTTCTGTATTAGGCATAATTTTATTAGTTGTTTTCAGTTTAATACAGAATTAGAGTGAAT